GATTCTTATCATATTTCATGTTATTATTTATCAGTAAATGATACAACACTATCAATACAGAACATTAGGGCATAGATAATATAATATGCATGGCTACTATTTTTTTTTTATAACTGGCTGGGCTTGCCGTTGGCCGTTGCCATTCGTCCCGATTTGACCGGGACAGTCTCGGTTTTAACACCATGTCCCGGTGTCCCGGCTGGTCATTAATTTTGTCCCGGTTTATGGAAGACAAGAGACAATAAACTTTAATATTATTTTGTTTAATAATAAAACATAGAATAATATATATAGTCTATATATATAATATAGAATTTGGGTTTATAACTTGTAATGAATTTTATTTAAAAATTAAAACTAATACACTAGGTAATACAGCTGTATTTAAAACAATTCATTCAACCGAAAAGTATGAACATTAGGTTATTACTAACAATTAATAAATGTAAATGCAGTAAATGTAGTTTACAGGGCCGGATTGGTTAGGCGAGCTACCTACCGAGAAAATCTCGATGGGCCTTTTAAAATAAATGTCGATCGCAAATGTTAAGGCAATTATTTCATAACACAAATTTTAATACATTTATTTAACTCTGTGCGGTACGTCAAATCTAGATCAATTTATACATTTTTATTTGAAAAAGGCCCCTTTAGGGCTGGTTAAAAAACTAAAACTCGGCGGGCCGATACCTTGTCTATCCGGCACTGGTAGTTTATGTAAAAAATTGTATTGGTTAATACATTTTTCAATTAAAATATGGGATATTATTAATTCCCGTATAATTATACATAAAAAGTTTTTTTTTAAATATTTTTTTTAATAATTTTTTTAAATTATTGTATTAAACTATGATAGGTCAACAATTACCTACAATTGAACATGAAATAAACAAATTATACGAAAAAAAGGTTATTCAATATATGGTGTCCCGGTTTGGTGTTTTTAAAATCTGGCAACCCTATAATGCATGGCTAAATCGCTAAATAATTATTTAATTAATTAATTATTTAGCCATGATAATATGTATATGATGTTTAATGTTTATGATCTAAGAATAGGATACTACTTTTACTCTGTGGTACTGATTTCTATAGACATAGAAGATGACTACCACAGACTCTTCTTCTACACCAGCGATTCTCAACCTGTTTATAGTCACGTACCACCTACACAATTTGAAAATTTTTGCGTAGCACCTGACCATTTTTTTGCTTATTAGTTATTATTTTATTAATAATGTATACGTTTATGTTATATGCAGTGTTGTATTGGAGGGTATACGAGGATATACGGCGAATACCCTACCACCAGTTTACTGATTTAGCGTATACGCTGTAAAATTACTAGAGATACGCAGGTAGCGCGCGCTTATACCCACGTATACCTTCAAAAAATTGTTACCTATTGAATTACCAATTGTCTTATAGTTATAATCGTTAGAAAACATGAATAACTGTATAAGATCATTTTTTTTTACCGCATAGGTACATGTCAAACAGAACTAAATGATGTGATAAAAAGTAAGTTCTAACTTCATCTTATACTATTGCATGGCGTAAATATGTCTAATAACCTTTTTTGGGAGGGGCGAGGGGGTAGATAAATCAATTTAAATATAAAGACACAGTGGTATACCCCACGACCCACCATAAGTTAATTTTAGGTTTGGTGAGAATTCTTTTTTTTTTTGAGTGAGAGAGAGAGGATTAAGCTCCACACAATTACTGTGTGTAGCTTAATCCTCTCTCTCTCTTTCTCAAATGTCTATGTGCTGAGCGTATATCCTAGAAAAAATTACGAATACATCACTGGCTTATATGTATAGAATTTTGTTGGTAAATTAATTTTTTATAAAGGTAGATTTTCTTCACGTACCAGCACAGAACAGTACAGGTACCACCTATGAGTTTTCCGCGTACCACAGGTTGAGTACCCCTGTTCTATACCATAGAGTAATTTCTATACTTTATAGGCTCTCTACTTTATAGTATATAGGTCTATATTGATATGTTTGAAACAATTTTTTTTAAATCTATCACTATGATACTTTTCATAACCATTAAACTATATAATATAATAATATAATATACCTATTATTAAGTTGAACGATCATAACTCATGATAATTTATTGACTGTGAGGTCTGTGACACGTGTGAACTTTTTTTGTCATGCTCTGTGTATGGGATGTAGTATAATATCCATTTATTATAATCTATATTAGAAAAAACTGATTTAAATTGGCTTTAAATTAATTTACATCATTGTTTATTTATTATTCTTATATTAAATCGGGAATATTTATTAAAATCATTTATTTATTTCCTCAAAATGGTTCATAAAGTTTTACATTAATATTTAGACAAAAATAGAGCATTATTGTCCTCGAAATTTAACCTTAAAATTATAAATTTGAAATAAAAACTGTAAAATTATAACATGTAGTCTATATTTAAAGAAATTTGTATTTTTAATTTCATTATAATAGGTGCATGAAACACATATGTTTACTTAGAATACGCCCTTACAGTATGGTTTAAAAAATGCATTCGAGCCCTAATAATAACTCGTATTCAAAAAAAAAATCCCAATGAAGCGGGCGTATATCGATTGCGCCGAAATGACCTTTTTACCTGTGAAAAATCTATTGATTCCGCCGGCTATCGACCCCGCCGAAGTTTTCTTTTTATTGATTCCGCCGGTTAATATTTGTAAATTATTTATTTTAATGAAAACAAAATATAAAAGGCTTA